TTATTGTTTGTGTTGCAAAATTTGGTCGTTGTGGTAGAACATTTACTGGTATATTAGATCTTGTATTAATTGTTGTTGTATAAGAAGTTATTGTTAAATTAAAATCTAATGGAAGATTTGGCATATTTTCTGGTGATTTATCACGTAGTTGTGGTGGCATAAAATCATTCAACTATAGTTGCTTTGGTCCACTTATACGTCGCTGTTCTTGTCGTTGTCTTGATATAGAACGACTAGTTTTTTGATTTCTAATAAATTTTGTTTGTTGAGATGGTCTAATAATAGTTCTACATCTATTCTTTTCATTTAGATATTGATTGCAAGGATAACTATTATTTTTATTAGCACGTTTATCACATTTTTGAAAATTTTGATTAAGAACAATGTCATTTCGACGATAAGAATCATTATTATTATTTCGATTAGTATTAAAACATTTATCAGCAAATTAGTAAGGCAACATAATGATGATAATATTGTAAAGAAATAACAGTGGTGTTACAACGAATTTATTAACTAGACGTTTCGACCTACTATGAAGTCAATATCAATAAAACGAGTAAATAACGGATTATATCGAAAATTATAAACTTAATATATTTGAATGCCATTTTAAACCACCAGAGATAATTCTATATATATGAATAAAATAATTATGTTGTTTCGGTATAATCCGTTATTTACTCGTTTTATTGATAATTATATACAGTGCCTTATAAACTTACAAATAAATATATATTAAACATAAGATTAAGTAATTGGATTACACAAAAACAATACGAACAATTAAGTATCAGGCCAAATGAAGTGGAATTAGCTCATCTTAATTATTTACCAAAAGCTCACAAACCTGGCACTCCACTTCGGCCAATTGTTTTTGAACTCAAACATCCAGCTATAAAAATATCAAAATTTCTCGACGAATTGCTCCGACCATTATTTGATAAAATATCATCAAACACAACTGTTACTTCTCGAACCGAAGTTATCAAACAGTTACACGAATGGTCAAAACATAATATATGTCAAGAAACTTTACCAGGTACAATGAATGTTATGGATCTTTATACAATGATGCCACAAATCGAAGGAATACTATCAATTAGAAAAATGTTAAACTTCTTGAACATAAAACAAGTCAATGATTTAAAAATCCAAACAATTATTTGATTAAGCCGATTTGTGGTACAAAATAATTATTTTTCTTATAATGGTAAATATGATCATCAAGTACGTGGTGGTGCTATGGGTTCTCCGTTAACATTAATAATTGCAAATTGTTATATGTTCTTTTTTTGAACAAGATATTGTGAAACAAATTAAGAATAGTGATGGACTCTATTTACGTTATACTGATGATATATGTATTACGATCAACTGGCCTATTCAACATGTATATAAACAAATTGATCGATGGAATAAATTTGATCAAAATATAAAATAAAAAGCTGACGTTAGTTATTGAATAAATTTCTTAGATTTATACATAGAAAATAGAAATGGTGAATTAT